CTGGAAGAAGTGGTCCTTGAATACTGACCAAGTCTCTTGGGCCCCTTTACCCTTCAGTTCCCTGTCCCATGGGGTATCCCCTAGCAATTGCTTGAAAAGGCCAAAGTTGGCCCTGCTGAAGTCCAGTGCTGAAATCCTGCTCGGTATTCTGTTTCTACTGTACAAGATCCTGAACTCCACCATCTCATGGACGCTGCAGCCAAGATTGCGCTCAACCTTCACTGCTTCAACAAGACCTTCCCTGTTGGTGAGCACAAGGTCCAGCAGCGCTCCTCTCCTAGTCGGTTCATTCACCATTTGCATCAAAAAATTATCATCAGTGCAGTTCCTGGAGGAACCTCCTGGACTGAGGATGCAGCCCTCCATTAAGTACTGGAAGGCCTCTATAAGGTCACCCATTCAACCCATTTAAGGTCTCTTTAACAAAACAAAACTTTATTCTTTTTTTTAACAAAACAACAACACTAACCAGTGCCACAGCATCTGATAAAGCAGGAGGAACAAAGATTTTGCCAGAACTCACTAAAGCTTTCATGTACCTGGCGTACAAGAAGTCTCAGTTTTCATTAACACTAACAAAAAAGCCATGCAGAGTATTCATACACTTTCAGACCGAAAATCAATTTTGTTTACCATCAGCACAGAATCTTCATATCTGTACTGATATACAGCAAGACTAATTAGTTTGAAATAACTAGAAGTTGTCAGGGAGCATTTAACATCACACAGAATACCAGATACTTATGTAGTTGCAAATCATCCATGTCCCTTCATCTGCTGAGAAAAACAAGAGTTATTAAGGTGGGAGATTGTCTTTTGTTGTTTGCTGTTTGTTTGCTTGTTGTTCTTTTTCTGTAAAGAAAACTCTTTTCCTAGCCTAGCAAAGACTTATTTGTCTTAATTTCCCTAAAACACAAGGTCTTGGAATTCAGTCTTATATTTGTCCAAATAGAAGATTCAAGTCTAAGAGAACTAAAAAGCATTATAGCAGGTAAGTTCCCTGTAGCCCATAAACAACACACAGAGAACAATTCTTCAAGGAAAAAAAAAAGCACTGCACCAAAACTAAACAAACTTTCAGCCTTGAAAATGAACAGACTTTCTTGCAAAAAAGTGCTTTAAACTACCCTAATGAAAGAGAATCTCAAGAACATTCTGTTCAACAGTGTATTTGGTTTAAAATAACATTTGACAAGCTGCTGCAATTAAAAAGTACAGGGTAAAAAAAAATATATATTGTCATCACTGTTTCTACCCCAGAACAGGAACAAAATTCTGGAGATGTAAAAAGGGAAAAAAGGTCATTGGTGCATAATACAACAGTCCATGTTGCCTAGCAGAAATAGAACAAAATATAATGTGGTCCTCTAAAACAGAAATATGGGTATATATGGAACACTAGCAGATTAAAAAGAAAAAAAAAAATCTATTAATGTCAGCCAGTAACTAGGTTAATGAATACAGAAAGCAGAGACAGACACCTTCAACCTCTTGCCTCCTCCTGTTCCTGTTCAGAGCCAGCTGCCCAGGCTGACAACAGAGAACCATGAGATCACTTAGAATCATAAAATCATTCAGGTTGGAAAAGATCCTTGGGATCATCAAGTCCAACAACTAACCCAGCTCTACAAAGCTCACCCCTAAACTATATCCCTCAACACCACATCTAAACGACCTTTAAGCACCTCCAGGGATGGTGACTTACACCCAAAACTTTGACAAGTTTCAGAACTTTCTAAAGTCAGAAGTGACAGTGATGGGCTTATATGGACATACAGCACCTGCCTACACAACAGACACTATGGGAACAGACTAGTTCTGAAGAACATTCCATTTAGATACTTTTCTTCATGAAGGATGAGCTGAGCAATATACAAAAAATACCCCTACGTTCACGGAGCTCTCAAGAACTCTGCATTGTACTTTCTCTCCCCGCCTTAGTTTCAGCAGTACAAAATACAAAACAAGGAACCTACCAAATAGACAATGTGCAGATCATTCTCCAGAACAAAGCTTTTCATAGCTCGCTGCAGGTCAGCAAAGATTTCCATGGCTTCAGTTGGTGAAAGAGAAGAGGAAAGAGTAGCTGAGCCAAGATGTGTTGGATGATAAAACTTTGCTGGTTAAAAACAAAACAAACACAACCACACAGAGAAACATTTAAGTGTAAGTTCACATCTCATGTTCAGGTTGCAATATTATTTTATAGATATAAATTCTAACTGTTCCCAACTGATTGTCAAGAAGAAATAGCATATTTCTCCATTCTGAAGACAGAAGAATGGAAACAATAAAAGGTTTAGACTTTCCTAAACCTAACCTAGCTTTTTTCAGAGGCCAGATCACAAGCTTGGATCCCTCTTAACTCTTCAGACTAACAGTCATGATAGCTATTGAATAAAAAACACTAGAATCCCATCTGCCATCCTGTCTAGGAGTTATCATTTTGATTATTTCTTTCTTAGGAACACCAAATACCTCCTATAATCAATTCTGTAGAAAGAGATACAAATTAACATGTTATAGGGAGTCTTACTGTAAGAGTCTCATCCTTAGCCATTTTAAGAAAAGAGCCAAAATCAGGAAAAAATGCAGTTCTAGAAGGGACTTGCACTTTCTTAGAAAGTACTTGTTCTTCAGAAAAACAAAAATCAGTCTGCAGCTAATGTATACAAATCCTGTAGAACAAGTATGCCATGTTGAAAGGTAGTTTGGTAATTTGTAGACTAGAATGCATTAGTCTTAGAGGTGTTGTGCAGAGAAAGGCAAGAACACCTGCATGCAAAAAATGTTAAGGAAGGTACAAAGACACCCGCTAGAAAGCCAGAAAATCCTTGATAGGTGATTCTTGAAAATAAAACCAAAACTGCACAGAAGACCTCATTATAAAGTTACACTGAGCTCCCACCCAACAGCAGATTTACTGATTCAAAACTGCTAACGCCAACCAGCGGGAAGAACACAGACGTTACCTTTCCCATTGTTGCCAGAGTCCAGAACCTGAATGAATTCATTTTCCAGCAACCACGCCACACAAGCCTCGATAGGTCCAGCCTGCACTTTCTCTGGTGTCTTCTCATTTCCCCACTTGTCTTCTTTCAAGCTGGACGCAAGGAGAGTGCAAGAGGCGTAGGTCCGCACATCATCTGGAGTGTTGGCCATTCCCCCCACAATGATCTGTTGAAGAAAACTACTTGTTCACTCTGCCAGAGAAGCAGCAGGATAGAACATCAGATCAGGGAATCAAAGAGGTTGATCCATCAGACATCTAAGTTTTCAAGAACCAGTCCGGGAGGGGAAGATGAGACAAAGCCACTTCCAACCTTTAAAGGCTTTTCTTGGCAAGAAGTTAGACACCTTCAGTGGAATAAGAGGATTAAGCTACTGGAAAGAAATAATTAAAAAAATCTTATTTTGGTAGCAGACATACACATAGAAGCAATATAGATTCAAGACTAGCTCGAGGCACTTCACTTAGCCAACATTGTGAAATAGGTTAGAACACAAACTGCAATTTTCTGAAGACAAAAAAATCAAACCAGGAAGGAAGAATTCTCCTAAGGCCCTTCAGCATACTAAAGTTTTCTCTTAATAAATATGAATGCTATACCCCACGACTGCTTTCTTGATTGAGAGTGATATTTTTTCCCTTAGATTTTAATTACATTCTGTTTTTCATGTAACTGCTTTTTCTTGTGAGTCATTTCCATGCCTGTGTGTCTTCCTTGAGATAGCAAGGTGTTTAACTAAAAACCTTCTTTCAAGGTTTCACAGGATTTTTTTCATGTCATAAAGCAACACCACCAGAAAAGAACCCCCATCTTTTAGATAGTTGTTGTATAGAGAAATACATTTAGAAATTCCAAAAAATCTATAGGAATCACAACCAAGTACTAAGTACCACAGCAGCTTTCACAAGACAGTAAGGGTAGTACAGCAGACAAACTGTATTTAAAGAGTCCAAGCTCAGTTCAAGCCCAAAAAACAACTCTGGGAAAGCAGATATGCTCACCTATGTGCAATAACACACTTCTGGTCCATTTTAGTCCTGTAGGAACCCTACAGGGGAAGGCAGGCTAGAGGGAGCAAATTGGGTATCACACCTGTTTGTTCACCAAAACTGTAATTAAAAAATTTCTATAATTTCTGTGCAGAAGTAGAAGACAAGTTGAGAGGGAAAATAAGGAACCCTACAAGGGACTACAAATGTCATTATCAGCCAACTCATTCTACAAGGCCTCTGGGATCAGCAATTTACAAGAATCTCCCAGTGAGGACTGTCAGGTCATGCATGAAGTTTAAGAATTACACTTATTTTTGCCTGCAGTCTGAGTATATCTAAATGCAAAAGCAAAGCTCAGTAACCCTTGTTTGAGTGTGCTTGCATCCTAATCTGCAGGAAGCAGAGACTGAAACACATCAAACAAAATGCTTAATACTGAAGCAAGCTGGCAGACCCGACTGGTTTTCTTCCAAAACTGCTTGGCCTGACAAGGGAGGAAACAGAAGAAAGTGCACAGAAAGCATTTGATGGTGTCACAAAAGAAGCCATCCTACACTTAAAAGAGTGCAAACACAGTTCTAACCCCTCCCCATGTGTCGTGTACCTCAAGTATTGCTCTTTTCATGCTAGAAGCAACACCTTCCCCTTCTCTTCTAAGCAAACAACTGCGAACAGGCTTGAGAGATCCCTGAAGTAGAGCAGTTCCTTTTGATCTTTCCGAGGGCTTGCAAACTAAAATGCTCTCACCTACAGGAAAAGAAACAAACCCAAAAATCAAACAAAAACCAACCAGACAAAAATTAGTGACCTTAGTGCTGTATCTTAGCACTGTAATAGCTACATACAGTTCATCAAGGACATATTACTGGAATGGAAAATATATAGGTAATTTTGAAAAAGCTGAATTAAAAAAAACAAAAAACAACCTTGAACAGTGTATATCCATTGCTCTTTAAGAACTCCACAGATACATAATACTTAAGAACTAAAAGCAGATCAAACTTCAAAGTTACATGAGACTAGTCAGGGTCTTGCAAATCAGCTAAAGAGCTTCCCTGGCATCTCTGTACATCTGCTTTGCTGCTGACTCTTGCTTCTTGTTCTGGAATTGACTGGAACTATAATACACAATGGCACCAATTTTTCTTCTATATTATTAAACTGAAAAGATTCTCAAAAGGAAGAAGAAAACATAACACAAACTGCCAAAGTGCTGTGCAGCTTTTAAGTCAACAAGCTTCCACTCTCAAAATGAAGTAACACAGAAACCAAAGTAATTCAGAAATCCAAACTCATTAATCCCAGTAACTATGCATTCACTGAAATTTCATATATGTGCATATATATATATACACACACACACATACACACCAAAAAAAAACTTACCTATCCTAAAATGGTTTCCACTGAAAGTACATCTAAATATACCTTATCTCAAAATTCTCTATCAGACACTGTTAACTTAATCCCTAACTACTGAAATTCTGTGGGTGACAAAAAAAGTCCCACAGATACTAAACAAAACCAAAAATAGCGGGCCAATTCCTTTAATGAGATAATAGTGCAGACAACCCATAGAAACTGCCTTTGATTAAAAAGGGAGCATTATATTTGGATCAGCGGTACAGTAAATATCATGATAGGTTTATGATAACTTGTTAAGTGCACATAGGCTGGACATGAAGATAATTTTGGTAGTGGATATCTTAGTAAGATCCTAGGAATATTAAGTTATGATAAAACTGTAGCTGTGGTAATGCTTCAGTAATTAGCAAATCCAGAGGTAATGAAAACACAACTTCACTTAGATTTAATGAACAGAATAAATACACAAATGCAGCAACCAGATGATGAGTAACCGAATACAGCTTAAAAATTATTACATAACTGAATTACAGGATGAACGACATGCTCAGGGGATGTGTCTCTGGGATTTTTTTGATCCTGCCAGGTCACACTTGACATCTGTTGACCATGTACTTCTGCCAGAGGATAAACTGCCTGTAAGCATTGTTTTGTGAAAGTAAATCTTATTTTGATTTTAGCCATAAAGAACTCATTTCATATTTGGGTTCTGGCCTGTCCTACAATTCCCTCTGAAAACTTTGACTCCTCAGTGTGACAAACCTAATAGAAGATGTGTACCCACTTGGCTCTACGTTACATGACAGTCATTCAAAAGGGGAAAACCCCTTCACAAGATGCCACTGAGAACTTAAAGTCAATAACTGCAACCTAGTAATCAGTGTAAAAAATAAAAATAAACATTAAAAAATAAAAATAAAAATCAATTAAAAAGTAATTATGCTCTTTCTAAGATCCCTTAGTGAACATTTCAGACAACAGGGGAAGTCTAGGTTAGCATCAGACTAAATAAATACCAGAAAACTCTGGTTTATCCAGGCATAAAACTCCATTAAAAGTAAAAAAGGCCCTATAACGTTTCTAGATTTTGTCCAGCAATATTGAACAGCTCTACCTATTTCACCTTGGCAACATGTTAGTTTTGACAAATGCAAAAATAATCCAGTTTCATTTTCTAAAATGATATTTCTACATTTCCATCAAATCAGGAAAAAAAAAAAATCAAAATCTGAGACAATCTAACACTACAATGTTGGGAGAGGAGGAGGAAATCAACCCAACAGCATCTATCTTCTGTCTGTCAGCTGAATTTCATATCCACTTTAGGCATTTTTTCCAGCTGACGTTGCTGGAAAGTTGTCCTCCCATCTCCCTACCCTGTGAAAGAGTAGCAGCTGGTAATGTAGCTTTATGTTCTCATCCAAAAGACTCTGGAAAAATATGGTACTTTCATGAAGCTCATCGGCATAAAATCAACTGCTTACTGTGCAAAATACAGTCACATCAGAACTGTCAAAAAAAGGTACTAATAATTGTAGCTTGAAGGGGAGGAAAAAAAAAGAAGCTTCAAGGAACAATGTAATTTTACACCTGTCAGCTACACTCGAATGACAAAGTCTGGAAAATTTCAAAATACAGCACACAGCTGCCCTCTTCTTTAACACATAGGGATAGCTCACAGAGATATAGGTCATAAAATGCTCTGTTGCTATGATACTCTAGCAAAAATAGAAAGTTAAATGTAAGAACAGTCTGCTTACATAGGGTTCCAGCAAGCACCAATCAAACCGCCAAGTAGAGCAAACCCCACTTCCCGCTTCTCTTAGCTTCTTGTTTTCTACTGTATTTATACTTGTATAATATAATTTTTTCTAAATATCATCCATGCAGACAAATTTCCATTGCAAATTTAAATATCAGGCATAATACAGTGAAATACTATGGCAAATAACAGGCAAACAACAGCAAAATATTTTGTGGAACATCTGTCATGAAAACGCCATATTATCTGTGAACCACCGTTCATATTTCCCTGTGTTACATTACTTTCAAGAACCATAAAAGTTATGGTTTAGTGGAAGCTTAATAAATCCAAATCAGACAAGAGGTTTGTCAGAATACAGCTGTAGACTTTAAATGCATTTCTTACATTTTAGGCCTGTTCGATAAGAGCTTACTGTAAATCTTCTCAGTGAAACTGTAAACACTTTAGTAAATTGACCATGGATCACGGAATTAAGGCAAATGAACCACACAGCCTTAGAAGCTAACAAGAATTCAAAGGAGAAACTATTTTCTCCAGCAATAGGAGAAAATAGTCCTGAGGTAACTGACATGTAAGTACCAAAGTAAGTCTCATGCAGTGAAAAGAATCCCCTGGGAATTACAATTTTTACTCCATTAATACCAAACAAATTCATCTTGATTAACTTAATCATACCGAATACCAAAGGAATTCATCGTGATTAGTCACTAATTGCAAAGCATTGCCCTGGATTTAATCAGGTTAACACCATTCTTGGAGAATGTTAATAAAGCCTCTTCCTACCCTCTGTGTCGACTCCTTTCCTGCCAGCCCTTCCAGACATCTGCTTGTAGGTGAGGATGTCCAGCAGTTTGCCCCCAAACACGGGAGTTCGTATGATGACTCGGCGGGCAGGCAAATTCACTCCGGATGAGAGCGTGGAGGTTGCAGCAAGGACTTTAACCAAGCCCTGACGGAAGGCTCCTTCAATGATGTCCCGTTCGTCAAAAGTAAGACCTGGGGGAGAGAAGATTTTTAGTGCACCTGGTAATGGTGAGGCTGCGTTTAATAATATTACTGTCAAGCAAGGGGAAGAACAAACGTACGTAACGAACACTCGTCACGCTCTGTTAGGAACTAGTCTCGCAACGCTACCTCAGCTAACTTCCTTCAAACCATAAGTGAGGCAGGATTTCACCATTAACATTTTACTATTCAGTTGACACTAAAAAATTGTTATAAACCAGCTTTTCTAAGGTGCTTGTACACATTTAGAAAGATGAACAACAATCTACTACATATCTGCAAGCACCGCAAGTAAACAAATAAAAACATAAAAATAAGAAAACTAGATGTAACAAACACAGTAGGGATCCAGGATTTAGTCATTTGCTGTCCTGACCCTGGAATACTTCTTCATTATTTCCATTCTAGGTTACAGGTCTAACATGTATCTTTCCACACATCCTTGAGGGCTTCAGGCCAATTTTATTCTTGAGAAAGAAATACACACTATATAAGCATTTGAAATTATTCCCCTTACATATTCAGTGCCATAGGTACTGTTTTCTCTTCTGGAGTCAGTCCTTTCTCTCAGTGGATCAACAGGTGACATACACTATTACCTGCTTAAGTAAGATATAAAAGGTCTAGCCAGAAGCACTTGTGGCACATGTTCCTTTTATTTTTATTGTCATTGTTATACTTCTATTTACTCACCTATTTCAGTACTAAGTTGAGTAAAACTGCTCTGAAATACCCTGGCAGCTTCAGGGACAACTTGAAAATGTTTGGGCTGCAAATTAGCTAATTTATCAGGCATTTCACACACAAAAAAATTAAGGTATATTTAAAAAGCTGCTGTTACTCAACACAACAGAGAGATTTATCACAACAATTAGTAAATTGAAGTCTTTGGCCACTACAAAAGAATTTCTTGTTTACCTCTAAGAGTGAGATTCTCATTTTAATTCAGTCATAATCTACAGAAGGCTTCAAAAAGCAACTAGCAAATTGCTGGTAACTACAGCAAAAAGAACCATTAAAGAATTCAAGACCAAGATACTCAGGAATACCTGCATGATGAAATGCCACTCCCCATGGCAAAGTACGTTGGAGCACAGAGTCCAGGCCTGAGACTGAACGTTTCAGCTGATCCAGAACCTCATCAATCCCTTCTCTGTCCACAACAACTGGGGCAAGGGCTGAGTTTTTTGCAGAACCTTGAGAGAGGAAATATTTTTATAGTTTCTACTAAAGGCACTATGCATACTATAGTCTTCTATTAACTACTGTTTTCTTACTCTCAGCCTGTTGCAGATTGTAGAATTCCCTGGCAATGATGTCTGCCAGCTTCTCACACCAGTTCTTGGATGGACAGAAAAGTAGGACTGAATGGCCATCACAAACAGTCTCGTAACACAGGCTCACAACATGGTCTTCATCTCCCTAAATTGAGACAAAATATTTTCAATGCCCTCTCACAGTCAATGGGGTTTGTAAATCCTGTCAGTCTTCTGTGCTGCAGTAGGAGCAAACAAAGATGGAGCACTGCTGTCATAATTTCTGCCTTGCTTTAGGAAGGCCAAGTGCTAGTATGACCAGGTTGCTGAGGACAGCCCTAGAGCTAACCATAAATAAATCTAAGGTTTCATGTCTTGTTTTCATAAATCTGTTTCTGAACGAAGGACACGCAGTGCACAATTAAAAAAAAAAAAAAAAAAAAAATCACTGCAACCTCTGTGGCCTGGCTAACAGCAGCAGGGAAGAATTACGAAGAGTGCCGAGGGAAAATATTCCCCCACAGTAGCTATGGAAGACTTGTCAGCTAGGATGTCTGAACTCAAAGCATGAGATGTCTGAGCATCTCCAGTAAGATGCACCCAGCAAGCACTGCTGACCAAAGACTGCAAGCGTTCAGAACACAGTGGAAAGCTTTTATGGACACTTACATAGATGAGCATGCAAAGCCCTACTGTTTACAGCTCGCCTTTTCAGTTTTAAGATCCTAAGAGTTCCCGCAACCGATCTGTTCTGCTTGGCTAAGCCAGATTCTCTACCAGCAAGCTGGCCACAGGAGGAAGAGAAAAAAGGTAGGCATACAGTCAAAACCAAAAAGCACTAAAATGCAAATGAAAACAGGGGAGCGATGGCAGGAACTGCATACACACATTATCATATCGGTAGGCATTCAGATGAATGCAGCAGAAGTGGCGAGGTCATTGAGTTCCCTTTCCTGGTCCAGTCTGAGGCAAACAACAGAAGCCTGAAGGTCCAGGGATAGATTTCAAGCCCAAGAGGATCACTTGTGGTCTTATAAAATTAGCCAACTCCCGTAAACTGTTGAGTCATAAGCCTAGTTTAGTTCTTTCTCTCAATTTAGCACCTATCCAAAGCAACTACTTCAAAAAAATACCCAGAAAAGGAGATGCAGCATCATCTTCTCAAAATGACCACATAAAACGAGGCTTCTGGATATTCCTGTCACAAACATTTTTTCATTTTGTTTCTTGTATTCTTTTTATTTGCTGTGCCACCATGCCACTGACAAGAGAACATCTGTGCACAGGGAGAACCAAGTGCAAAATATTCCAAAATATCACTGGCATTAAGCCCATGTTGTCCAACTATTACACTAATATTAAACAGAGTGGTTGAAGGGACTGGGACCAAATTCAGCCTTCAAAGACTCCACACAAAAGAAACCTACAACTAGGAAGTGCAAATTCCCCATTTCTACACATTCGGGTTTTCCAAATTGTTATAGTACATTACCCTTAACTTTTCACAGCCTTTGAGTGCACAAAAGGACTACATACTGAAAATGGATTCAGAAGAATCAGGATGGACATCTGACTTCTAATCACTGACAAAATTAGATCATTCAGCAGTTTAGTATAGGCAGGTTCAACACCACATGTTAATGCAAATATATTCTCCCAATGATTAATGCAAATTCCTTAGTATAGCTAGGAAATATCTACCTTCATTTATGAAAGTGAGGTAGATTACAAGACAGAGTGGTGGGTAAGGGGAGAATCAAGCTCTTTATTTCTGTCAAGTTTTCAGAGACAAGATAACTGCAAAGTCACCTTTGTCTTCAAGTCAGATTCAAGAAACCTCAAGAACTTAATAAGCGTGTGTTCCTTTTTGTTTAAATCAGTGGAAGACCAAAAAAAACAAAAATATCTTAATTTGAGCATATAAATTATGAAGTAAACAATGAAGTCAGGAATATCATCTACTGAAAAACAGAATTAAAAACATACCAGTAGCCGTCTGTTTAACTTTAGCTGTACAAAAAGTGTTATCCCAAAGCCACCACTCAATTTTGTTACCTTCAGTTGAAGCTTGGGCCGGAATTCTCGCACTAAATTCATGGTGGAGTCATAAATATTGCTGCCAATTTTCACCCACTCCTTGAGGGGCACAGGGCGAAAATCTGTACAGTACAGCTCGGCATCTAACCATGAGGCCAGGAGCCCCAAGTTGGGAAGGGTGGCGCTCATGCCTACTATCTGTATCCCACCAAAACCAGAGCTGGTCATCTTCGCCTGTCTGGAAATGGTTAAAGGAAAATTAAAGTTACTGACAACACAGGCTACTATCGTGGAAAACAGGATCAAGAAAAACTAACTCAATTTATTTCCTTCGAGAGTCTAAAGTGCAAGGGTATTTTTTTTTAACTTCTTGAAAAAGAAAACAAGCCATACTCTAACTCTTGGCAAACACAATGTCAGGTTATGCATTGATTATAAGATAATTCGACTTTTTATCATTTTGAATCTGAACTTGAGGCTTCTTTGGGTAACAACAGACAAACTGACTGCATATTTGGAGTAACTGATAACAAAGAAATCAGTCAACTATTTCCTTGACATTAACAAAAACATGGGAATAAAGCGATAGTCCAGTCTCTAGTGCAGTCTTTCTAAGTCTAAATGCCTTAATTAAAACACTTCCATTTGTTTCAATTTCAGGACAGATAATACTAGATTAAGGTCTTCCTAGAGCTGGGAACTAAAGTCCTTAGCTCAGCAATGAAGAAAGCAGTTTCAGTTCTCAAAGTGCTGAACCACAGCTTCCACTAAAGGCACTGAGAAGTAATGGACTCGTAACAGACCTGAAAACGCAAACCATTAATTTAGATACCTAAATGTATAATTTAATTCAGACGTTTACATCCACACAGTAGGGTGGGGGCTTTTATGCTCCTAAACCTACATTTAAAAACTACTCATTTGCACTGCATTGAACTAGGAATTGAAACTTAAAAAAACATAAAAAGGTCTGATAAATCAATGTGAGCTCAGAAACAGCCTAAACTTTCTTAGATCCTGGTTATCCTGACAAGGACAAGATAGAAGAAACAAGACTACACATAAGCTAAAGTTAAAAAGGCCAGTCACTGACAAGACAGAAATAAGGAAGATGTGGAAAGTCAGACTCTCTCTTACACAAGCTCCTCAAGCATTTGCCAGTACAGCTCTGCCATCTAGGTTGCATATATTTCCCCCTAAAAAAACTTTTGACCTTTTCCCCTCCTAAAGCAACTTTGACCTTTAAGGATTAAAAACATTCCAGCTCCACAACACACTCTTTGCCTGGGGAATAGAAAAATCTGCTGCAGAATTTTGTCTGGATCTGCAAAAGCCTCACAGAGAAACAAGGGCACCCACACTGGCAATGGCCATCAAAGAACATTCTCTTGGTGCAAAGACACAGTCTGAGGTCAGTGGGGCATCGAGCCGACCACTTAGAAAGATATCAAAAGCACTGATCATTCTGATAATCGGTCAGGCTGTGCAGTGTTTAAAGAAATTGGCTAAAGGTGCTCCCATTAAAAAAAAAAAAAAAAGAGAAAAGAAATCACAGTCTTGGGAAGGCATTTGAGAGAAAATGTGGTCTGTAACTCCAGGCATCTCAAGTGGATTCCAGAACAAAAATAGCAGCTGCCTCCTTCGTGCCAGCAAAGGAACCACTGTCAACTTGCACATGACAGAGAACTAGAGGATTTGGACCTTAGTGCCTGTATGGTGGAGGCGGAAATATTGTATCTTCCCAGGAACTTTTCTCCATACATCTGTTCCTTTTTCCTTGACAAATGTTTTCCTTCCTGCTTCTTCAATGCAAGGGAGGAAAGCAAAGAGCAGGCCTGCACTCCAAGATAAAAGAGAATGGCAAAGCCACTCACACCACTCTGAAGCATATGGGCTTCCAGGACTTCAGGGAAGAATATGAGAAAAAGTCAGAGATGATTAGACCCAGAACACTGCTGAATTCTGGAAATCAGGATTGGAAATACCAGCTAAAACACCCAATGTAGAAATGGCAGTTCTCCCAGAACAGAAGCAGTAGTCTGTGCTTAGTCCAGCACCAGTCCAGCTTGCGAGACAGGAAGCAACAGAGAAAATTGGCAAAATCTGGCTTTTGGTGCTAAGGGTACAGTTGATTTTGCCTCTTTCTCTCAGCACCATCAGTAAAAATTAAGATCGACACACCATCTCCTCCATTTGTCATTGTGATGGGGCACTATGGAGCCACCAGACAGTTTCACAGAATCACAGAATGTCAGGGGTTGGAAGAGACCTCGAAAGATCATCCAGTCCAGCCCCCCTGCCAGAGCAGGATCACCTACAGTAGGTCACACAGGAACGTGTCCAGGCGGGTTTTGAATGTCTCCAGAGAAGGAGACTCCACAACCTCCCTGGGCAGCCTGTGCCAGTGCTCTGTCACCCTCAAAAAGCTTTTCCTAATATTTTTGTGGAACCTCCTATGTTCCAGCTTGTACCCATTGCCCCTTGTCCTGTCATTGGATGTCACTGAAAAGAGCCTGGCTCCGTCCTCCTGACACTCCCCCTTGATATATTTATAAACATGAATGAGGTCACCCCTTTGACGCTTGGGATCTAGATACTGAATTTTTATGACCTCTAAAGCTTTTCTGAAACCTCTGATCTGTTCCCCGGTGTCCAATCAGGTGTGCTGAAGGCAAGAAAGCATGCAACCATGAGACTATTGCATGTCTATAAGCAAAACCACAGATCACCCCACACACTGCTATCTAAGCAGACTGCTGGCACACCCTCTTAATTCTTCTGATCAATTCACCATTGACAAGCTAATAGCATGCCCACCCTTCCACAATACCTGTATGTTTCAGTAGGATAAAAAACCCATTTCCTGAAACACTGAAAAATTAAGCAGGGCAAGTCTCCCAGCAAACACGTAAGAAGAAATCCAAAGTTTTAAAAAAAATTTAATAGGCTGAAAAAGTAAATGAAAGCTTCAGCCTTCTTTCTTGTCCTGAGAGAAGGAATCCCATGGTAGCACAGAAATTGAAAACCATAAGGAAAAGAGGTTTTGACTACAACAACAGGCCCCTGAGGGGTGGTATGATGAGACCTCAATAACCAAAATAGTCTAGAACATCACTTTCATAAAATACCCTGGAGCTAACCCAAATTGCCAATCATCCAGAGAACAAAATATTTAGAGCCATCCATAATTTAGCATTAAAAGACAAACATCTTGGTCTACCCACCGCTTTGCCACCTTCTCTGTGACATATCTAACTTTGGTCAGAAGGAGTTCCAGCAGATATCCTCGGTGAGAGTCTCCCAGCATGTGTAACTCATCCACAACCACCACTCCTGATAAAGAGAAGCACTCAGGTTATATGTGACAAAACTCCAAACTAAGAACAGAGAGCCTCAAGCCTTCCATATTCCACACAATGAACCGAAATTTATATTCACAAATCGAGCTGTGCTTACCAGCACCACTAGGGCTTACTTCTGTTACTGATTCTTCTGAGAGAAGCAAACCAAGACCAACATCACGATATTTTACATCTCTCACAACCTCACACACACAATCAGCTTTTAGAAAAATAAAAATAAGGAGGTTGAGTAGTTAGTCTGGGCACTATGCAAAACAGTATTGCAGCATCTATACTGTAATGACTCTGCAATTAAAAACCTCCAGGCTTCAGAGTATCTGGAAAGGAACATTCCCAAACGAGTTAGTCGAAAGCTTTGTTGATATCACTGTCTTAGTTGAGAACATCACCCCTTACTAATACAGTAATGTCAGAAAAAAACACCTAGAGCAAAGGTAATTACATTGGCCTAGCAAGCTTCCTATTATATCCTTTTTTCACTAACCAAACCTGAATGAGCTCTATTATTTAGCTTTGGCTTTCTAATGTAAAGAAAAAATCCTTACAGGACGGCTCTGTTGTCAACACACCTCCTGTAAGTGACTTTGTAATCTATTAGCTACTCCATCAAATTTGTCAGATGTGTAGAAATACTGAAAAGAATGTCTAAAAAGCTTTTGGAATAAGAGCAGCTGGAAACAACAAACCAGACAAGAGTCTCTACTGAGGAGAAAACACACGGCCACTACAACTCAGCCACCCAGCGCACCCTCCTGCACACACCCCAACTAGGGACAGTATGCACCCTTTCTAGCCAGCTGATAGGGTCACAGGGACAGGGACGAAGCTAAAGGAAGGTTAAACAAAACAAGCAGGGCACAGAGGACACCAGGCTTCATTAGTCCTGCTGCTTGTGGAATTTTTTTTCCTCTTTGGTGCAGCTACGTAATATCTTCCTGGTAGGGCTAAAATAGCAGGAGCTTAAGGGCAAATGTGACCTTGTATTATCTGTTTCAATGTTACTTCTCTTTTTTTTTCCTCTCCTTCCTACATATGTTCCTCCTGTCTCCGTCTGTCTTCTTCTCCCCTTTTCGTCCAAGCCACTTAAGTGAGAAAAGAGTGCTCCACTGCTTCATCAGCCTCTTTTACAAACTCCCACCCATCCAGCTCCTCTGTCTTCCGGTACTTCCTCTGTTCTGTGCTCACTTCTAAGAAATGGTCATTTGTTGGTCACTGAACACACAGTTATTCAGCTACCAGAAAAAGCTTCTTCCTGCCTCCTCGTACAACAGTCTGTCTGAATTCTTCCAGCAGCTGAGACAGGACAGTTTAATCAGATATCTACCCAAGTAAAATTCATACAAGTTACCTTTCCAGTCTTTGTGCCAAGGAGGAGCACATTTGGCTTCCTGCAATGAAGCACAGAACACTAGTGGTACCTATAGACCAAAGCACAGAGAATGCCATTATTTGTTGTTTTGGGCCACTTGTTCTAAACCTTCTGCTGCTACCCAGCTAAAATATATACTTAAACTCATATTAAACCTGTGTACTGTATTGCCTTGGCAGACTGCAAGCTGCTGAGATCCGACTAACACCCATGCACAGCACTCTCCACTATTCCAGCAGCATTCAGACTACACTCACCAGGATAAGAGAGGAGAAGCAGTCAGGCAATCGATACTTTTCACAAAGCCATCCTCATCTTAAAATGGAATTGCAGCCAAGGAGGACTACAGGTCCCAGCATGCAATGGTATGTTCTACTCAACGACAAGATGGGGAGTGCAAGTGAGGCCAGAATTTCATCATACCACGTTGCTACTGAAAATGAGGCTAACCTCCGTCTCCTATTTCTGTCTGCAAATTAGGTCTCTCCCTCAAAGTCTGCTGGAAAAATAACTACTAAAAAGTACCTGAGAACCATCACACGTTTACTGCAGAACCACTAGACTGCTTTAAGTCCACATCCTGTTTAAAACTACAAAGTTCTGAATGACAGGCAGGGAGGCTTTGAATTTTTTAAAATACAATTAAAATAGCAATTTTTTGATTTAAGTTTAAATTAAGAAAAGAAACAAGTTAAGTATCACAATAGCACGTTACAAATCTCTTCTCAGCTGACACATTAAGAGGGCAGCAGATTCTTCTGTAATTCACTTTCCTAAAAATTTCTTTAGCATCAGCATCAAGAGGCTGAATAGCAAAAGGAATATCATCACATGTGTACCTGGATGTTCAAAACTGATGCACATTATATAATAATTAGCAACACAAAATTGCTTTTAACCGCTTCATACAGCAAACAGAGCTCTGCCAGGGAGAGGATTTGAGTTTCTCTCAACAATTTCCAGAGGCAACATGAGCTATCAGCAGAGGGTTGACACCAACAAAAGGAACAGCTCAAGCTTGAGATGGAATCCAGTCAGAATTGCAGTCATCTCCCAATAACTCATCTCAAAAGATAAAACACCCTTGTTAGGAACGGATCTAAATTTAGAATTAATTAGATGAGGTATAATCTTGCAGTTTCAGACAAGTTTGCTTTAGGTGACAGTTAAACTGGCATTTTCAGCTCATGCCCATATTTTGCAGCTTTTATGAAAATCTATCCACAAATAGAAACGTTGTCAATTTCTTAAATATGATTTTTAAACTCCAACTTAATTTCAAACTTAATTTCAAGTAAGCATCTAAAGGAAAAGTTTATAGGTTCTTTTCAGTTATACGGTCACTGGGGCACAAGGAAAGCTTCTCAGGTACCTTCATCTTTGAGAGCACAACAAAACATTAAGGATGGAATGGAGGAACCAGCCAAAGGGATTTGGCATACCTCTAGCTTCTGAAAGATTCTATCATTAAATAATACATTTTAATATACCGAATATGCTTCCAAGGCACCCAAACCAACATAAACACAGACATCATGATCCTACTCTGCCTTATGCTGGCAGTGCAGTGACCTAGAATCAAACTAACCCTATTTAAAACAAATAAAAATTTTGAATATTGAAATAACTGACTGCATGATCACCAGGTTCACTCATAAGGGAATACAGGGCTTCAGGAGCCTTCAATTCAAATGAGCTTAAAATGCTGCACAGCCAAAGTCAGCCACTCATCTTCCAGCTCACCAGCAGCCTAAAGTATTCATGGTGATCCAGCCCCCATAGATCCAGGTGCAAATGTGTTATCCCATGATCTCACACTCTGAAAAAGCCTGCAAGCTTTTATTTCCCTTATCTTTCTCTTGTGTTTAAAAAACTCTTACGGTATACAGTGCTGCAGAATATTACAACACCAAATGCACATGGAACAGCATGTTTGATACTCATTTACTTTTCCAATTTTTATATTCTTAAAGTAGCAACCAGCTATGTTACAGGCCAGAGTGAAGACAGGGCTCATTACTGTACAAAATAAAACTGAGTATAGCTTTACTGAGCAGGGAAACAAAGAACAAACTTCCGACTGTACCAGGAAAACATGATTCTTTTCAAGTATGCACTGGAAACATAAGGTTTCTTCAGGTTTTATACCTCCTCCCAACACTAAATGAATACTACTATTATCTGAAGGCCATCGGATGGGCCATGGTGACCCAGAAGCCTACATTACAACATAAATGAAATCTAACATTATCTGGTGGCCATCGGATGGGCCATGGTGACCCAGAAGCCTACATTACAAGGACAGAGTGAACTACAAGAACTCAAGGCTTTTGAGTGAACTACAAGAGAGAAATGAATGTTACAGCCCTCCCAGTCACCATGCCTACCCAGAGGAGCTCTGTGTATTCATTCCACTTATCTAGACCCAGATGAGCACCAAACACAATTCCTCCTCTTCCTTGAGCTAAGATAAGCCACGGATGCCACAATCTCTGTTCGAAACAAACTAATACACATACATTCTTGAACTCAAACATATCCCAGACCTTTAAGTGAATTTCATTAATTAGAAGACATTTCCCAGCTATGGAAATCACTGCTTATTGCAGCTAACTGCTGCCCATGGATTGTCATCCATGTCAAACTAAAACCTGCAGCTTCTACCTACTCACCCCAGCCCCTGAGCTACATAGAATAGTTCTGACTGCCTTCCTAAACCCACATCAGAGGTACTCTGGAAGAAGAAAAATTGCTCAATTTTCCTGTATGGCATGTCTGTCATATACTTCGTATTTGCTCAGTTCTGTATCTCATGATTTTCCATATACTCAAGAGTAGTTTTCCTGTATGGCATGGCTGTCACATACAGAACTGAGCAAATACGAAGTATCTCATGATTTTCCATATACTCAAGAGTATGTAATAAAGCTCATCCCCACAAGATTAAAGCATTAGTATTTTACCCAGTGAGTCCATTTTGTTCTCTTCTATCAGTCTATTGACAAGACCATTGGCTTTCTCAATGGTGCAGACAGCAACATCCAGGGCAGAGAAGTGTCGAGCAGGAGCCATGCTTCCCATGTAGCCTTCAACTCTCACGTCCACCTCCTGAAACAGGGCCTGTTTTCCAAGGATACAGAATGTCACACCAAGGTTACAATGTTGAATTTTGACCAATGCCTGTTGGAATCTCTTAAAAGCCTGCATCTCACAACCACAATTTCTAGTACTTACAAAGCTAACTAATCAGTTAGAGCCATAGCTTAGCTGGTTGCTGCTATTTTTATTTCCACTGTCAGGTTTTTTTTGTTCCAAAGCAGAAGCCACACAGTACATATTGCAGGATAAATTGTATATAAGTGATTAAGAGATGAGGACCACTGTTTTGTATAAAAAGATGCAGCATTAAAAAGGTTAGAGAATACACAGTTGCAACAGTTTATAACACCAGTGGGTTATGTACAAAGAAGCCTTGCTCCTGAGACATCCTGGGCAAAAGCCAAATGTGGGACCCCAAACGTGAAGATGTCACATCACCCACTGAAAGTCAAGAAACAACAATTTCTTTTCTTCCATAGCTTACTACTGCAGTGCCAAAGCTTTGGCACATTACACACCACACTAACAAAAGGCACAAATGTTTGAACCAGGTGGGTAGAACATCGTGTGATTTCAAGTATGTGCAGCTACAGCAAAACCTTAAGCCAGAGGTAGCAGAACACAGCGTTACAAGATAAAAGCAAAAGCACGTCAGAAACTATAACAAAAATGCCTACTGGTTTTGTGTTTGTTTTTAGTAATTGTTGTCACTTTGACAATATTGGGTAATGGGAACAATGCTTGAAATGGAAGTCTTTCAAGAGAAAATATTTTTGTTTTAAAAAACAGTTCCCACTCTTATTTTGCTTTAAATAGCTGGGGTGAAGAAGTCAAGACATAACCACATTCTGTCAGAACAAATTTTTAGAGAAGTAAAATCAGAGGCACACAGTTCTGGTAGAACATCCCAAGGAAAGCTAAAATATCCTTTTATCCTTCTAGATAATCTTGACACCTTCCCTTTGTAGTTTTTCAGACACAATCTCTAATTAGAAAACTCCTTTAAAGCCTGTGAATAAATGCATGTAAGAATGCTTTAAAAGTCAAAGCTGAAATAAAATGTTTTAATCAACTCCTTAAAATTTTTCCAAGTTTCCCTTTTTTGGGTAAAACTTTCAATTTTTATCTCCAACTTCGAATGAGAACAAATTTTAAGTTATCTACAAATCCTTTCTGAAGCAACTCTGCATGTGGGTATTTTTTCCTCAAACCCATGCAAAAACTTCCAATTGTTTAAAAAAAGTGACCCAACAAAAACACCCTATAAATTTCTTCTCCTTGAATGCTACTTACCTGCAGATAATTTTTTTTCTCCTTGGCCACAGACACAAAGGGAAGGATGAGAAGAGCTTTCTTACGAGTCTCCAGGACTCGCTTCAAAATAAGCAATTCTGCAACAAGAGTCTTTCCAGCACTGGTAGGAGCTGGCGGGGGGGAAAAAAATCCAAGGAATAAGCCATCATAAAGCTAGCACAGAGAGCTGTTATCAGAGAATGTGGGACAGGACTCTTCAAGGGATGCCTCTCTCCCACAGCCACCACCACATGTGCAGTTAATCCTATAAAGAGTCAAGACAACTGCAAATTATTTCTCTTCTAGCCCCTTCCATCATGCTACCAAGGCTTGTGCTCTTGTCTTTGCTCCAGAAGCAAGAACAGCTCAGAGATAAGCAAGGGGAGAAGAAAAAGCCAACCAAACAAAAACCCTGCTTGGGTTGGACAGGAGAGCCACCACACCTTGCTGACCTAACCCATAAATATATTAACCCCTCCTGCTTGGCAAGCGTTGCTGTTTGTCCCCTATCATCCACAGAAAACTAAACTGTAGAGGAGGTGCAACACACCAGGGGACAGCTATTGCTCAGCAATCAAGGCCAAAGTCTTCTGGAACCAAGTAAACAAAATGCAAACACAAGCCTAAGAAAATTCCCTGCGCCTCTTCTAATTCTTCATCCTCCCAGTGCTGCTCTGGGACCTTCTTTCCATGGAGAGTAAACACACGATTTTGTCATTTCCCACAGATTTTCTAGTCCTACTTCTCCTTCTGAGCCCCACACCCCATGTACACTAGTTGGAGATAAGCAATAAGGGACTGAAAAAAATAAATCATAGAATCATAAAATGTTAGGGGTTGCAAGGGACCTCTGGAGATCTTCTAATCCAATCCCCCAGCCCAAGCATAGTAAATAATATTTTAAAAGTATTTATGTGTAACATTGCTGTTACAATTCAGTTCCTGGCTGACACAGTCTGTAATAAAAAAGTGAGTTATCATTAACTGGCTCTTAATCACCAGTTTCTAGAGGAACATTAACAGATGAAACAGGAAAAAAGTCTCCCCTCACATCCGGAAACGAGTTCATCAAGCCAGGTCTGAGGTACAGCAGTGGGACAGATCTTAATAGGGTCTCTAAAGAAAAAAGATCTTTTCACCTGCCAGATCAGAACCCTTTGGCACCAATGTGTTCTTGCAAGTGGCACTGGGAAAGTTAGGGTGGGCTGGTTTTGCTTGCATACCTGAGTAAACTAGGTTCTTGCCTTCCAGAACTTGTCCGAGCATTAGGCATTCTGCTTGCCATTCAAACATCTGTACTACTCCCAGGCTGTGGTATTTCTCCAGAACTGCTTTGGGAAGACCCCAGCTTGCAAGGAGCAACTTGTCTGCTAGGTCTTCAGGAACATTTACCTGCGGATACTGCCCTTTGGGAGAAATAAAAAAAAAATGTAAAAGTCAAGTATCATCCCTGAATCTGAGGATAATCACTTAGGTTAACCTGTAATGTAAACATCAAACTTCTCTACAAGCTCCTTTATGAGAAAAGGTAACAAGAAATTATTTTCCCTGTATTTTTCAATATTTCCTATGGATGCTTCCCCATTATTGTTCTCTCCTGACACCATTTTTTCAATTTTTCTTCCTATAAGATTTTCCATGTTCAAATAATTTCTTCACCAAACTCTTGCTCTGATATTTGCTTTTGAGACAAAGCAGTCATTACCAAATGTAAACTCAGAGAGTTTCAGCATAAATTAACATAACAGTATTACAATGTATTTGCCATCTCGTCCATCTCATCCTTACCCATACTGTTTTCTTTTTTAAATTACTTCTCTCAAGCTACTCTATACAATGTGCATTACTTCAGTTTAACACCACTGATTAGTACCTTCACCACATTGCCAGTTCCTCTAGCTTAATTAAATTCCTTGCTGCTTATTCCTTGTCTTTGTAATTCTAACTAATTTTCTGCTGGCTACAGATATTGCCTCCTCCCTCTGCTCCTCCTCTCTTTTCCCAAACCATTAAAAAAACTCAAACTTTTTGTCCCTTTCTTCATCTGAGAGAGAAAACAGGTTTATGATCCACAGTAACGCCTCCCCTATCACCCATGATTATGAAGTTTCCATAACAGCATTTTGTAAAAGACCTTGTAAAATACAGACTGCATAAGCAGCCAGTATTTTTACTCTCAACATATTAAAATCTTCGGCTGCCTTCTTGAGATTAACCCCAACCTAGCTGTCACTGGTGCACGATCGTTCTTGCATGCACAAATATATAAAAAAGCTGACACAGCTTAGCTCTGAAGGCTTTGTTTCACATATCATGCAAATACTAAACCAGAAGTTGAGCACCGACAGGAGGGAACAGCAGTATGCCACAAAACAGAACAGGCTTCCCAAGGGGCATTTAGAGATGAGTAGACTTCTCCGTCCTAAAATGTGACTAATATGGCAGAATTAGGATTCGGAAACAAAAAGAACAGCTACATGATGGGATCTCAAGCTCCTTTCCTGATGTTGAAACCAATGAACTCCACGTAAAAGATGGAATTAATAAAGGATTATGTGATTCTGCTGTTTGAAGAATATCTGTAGATTAGCACTGAACATGAGTTTGAAAATTTGTGCCTTAGGGGTTATTAAAGATCCATGTACAGAAGTATACCTCTTTTTCACCTACCACAGAAACACTAAGAAATAGTCAAAATGAGTGAGATACACATTGTTGGTTAAAAGCACGGGGCACTAGATTTGTCTGAAAGAAAACCCTTCCAGAATGTGGGGGCAGGATGCTGCCTGCTGAATCATCTTCGAGGAGCTGTCCTGTGGACAGAAGTGCATTGCCTTGTGCGGCTCCAATTGCAGGAGCTGACAAAATTGTATCTTGCAGAACATAATCACATCAGGGAGAAGATGCAGCATGACTGGAGAAGAAGCTGAGAGACGTAAATGTTTCAGAGTTACACAAAAATTGCAAAAGAGGTGAAGTTACAAGATGTTAAACAAACATCTTGATTTTAGATGTTCTATGCATCTTGACATTCTATATATCTTGATTTCTCTCTTGATTCAAGAACACAGTAACCTGGTAAAACATATCGCATCTAGAAGCTTTAACTGGTCCTGGCTGGCGGCAGGACCACTTTATATGACATCTTGCCACGTAACATGAGTTATTTATGTAATATCTTTATATACTAGAGAAGATGTGATCTAAAAAAAAAAACCACCAAAAAAAACTACTACACTTCTCTGCATTTGCAGGTATCAGAGCACCAACCAGGACCATTTAAAGCGATGCCTCCAGGGAGAATAAATTTTATCAGCTCACTGTGTTCTCGAATCAGTTTAATGCCATCGGCAAACCTCCCCTCCGACAGCGCAGGACTCTGCCGAATGCTGCACTATGGTAGCACCTAGAGGCCAAGTCCAGAACAAGACCAGCTGTTAAACGACACGCAGTGAAACGAGCCTGACTCCAGAGGTGCGCGCAAAACACACCTTTTCTTATTTTCCTCAACCAGATAGCGAACAGGGCTGGGAGA